CGGTGGAGAATAAAGACAGTGAAGAAAATCCTAGAAAGAATTAAGTCGGTGAGTAAGTTTATAAATAGGAGGAAACTGGAAACATACACCAACACAATTCACGACCAACTTGAAGAATAAACCGAGAGACACCAGAATTCTTGGAAGAAGAATTCGAGAGAAAGGAGGAAAGGAGGAGCATACAAAATTAGGAGAGTAATAAGATATTGAGGAATCGGGTATGGGTTAGACGTTTAGTTTTATTCATACGAAAGTCCGTAATTGGAGATTACTATTCATCAATTGCAAAGATTGAAATATTGTTGAAATTCTTTCAATTAAGAATGAATTATATAATAAAATTGTTGTTTTTAACTTAAATTGAACATATTTATGGTTTAATTTTGATTTGGAACAAATTTGAGTGATTGAAACTGAGAAATTTGAAACTTGGATTTCGATGAAAATTCGCAAAACTCGCTCAAGCGAAAAATATGTCACTTGAGCGAGGATACCTGGAAATTTTGGGATTCTCGGGTTCTTTATCGCTCAAGCGATAATTACATCGCTTGAGCGACTAACTGGTCATGTCTCGCTCAAGCGAAAAGTGTACTCGCTCGAGCGACAAAAGCTTCAAACAAAGGGGACTAAGGGTCATGTCTCGCTCAAGCGAAAAGTGTACTCGCTCGAGTGACGAAAGCTTCAAACAAAGGGGACTAAGGGTCATGTCTCGCTCAAGCGAAAATTGTACTCGCTCGAGCGACGAAGCCTTCAAACAAAAGGAGACTCTCGGGTTCCATCTCGCTCAAGCGACAGGTATACTCGCTTGAGCGAGCAAAGGAAGAAGAAAGGACTAGGTGGGAATTTTTGCAAAAGATCAAGGGTAAAATAGTCATTTCACATATTAGGGACATAAATGGAATTTTGAAAAAGGTTAAGGGTATAATCGAAATAAAGTTAAACAGTATATTACCCCCTCTTTGTTTACTAGGAAAACGACTCAATAAACGTTAGAATTTGAGGATAGTGCCTTCATCAAAGTTATAGATTATTATGTTATCTTTCCAACACAATTGGAATCATCTTAAAATGAGGTCTAGAACTCAAGATATGAACAAAACACTGAACCCTATGAAATAAATTATTAATAAAAATTGTCTTGCTTAAAACAACTATGAATTGTAATTAAAATTTTGAATATATGAAGGAGATGTTTTTAAGTATTTAATTGATGATAGATTGTTTCATACGAGACATAAACATAGTGCATGAAATGTTTTACTGGAAGTCACGAGAAAAGTTTTTACAGAAAAGTATTTGGAAATTTCTCTTAAGTTGCTACCAAGGACGGTTGGTAGGAATAATGATGTGTAAAACAGAATTTTTACATTTTCTCGTGAGTCAATTTACTATCAAGAGCATCCGGTAGTGAAATATGACTATGAAAATGGCTGGCCAAATGAGACAGAGAATGAATTATTAAAAATTGAGCTACCGGAATCTCTCGATAGTAAATGGGGGAGTAGAATAGGTAAGACAGGACCTCTGGTCTATGGGGATGGACCTCTGGTCTAGGGAGTGTTTGGGCATGGGCAATTCCATAAGTGGCCAGTCTTTATTTGATTACGTGTCGTGGTAGCTGCCGGGTGCACCGACACTCGACTCACTGTCTACTTGTTCGCGTTTAGTGGGACATTGCCGAATCACCGGACAGGGTGATGTTAAGCTCTGGTTTCACTAGACACTCAAATGAGTCTCCATGGAGCACTCGAGTCAAAAATAATTTTTTATTTTGAGTCAAAAGCATGATTTTAAAGTTTTACGTTTGGAGTCACATGTGCATATCATAAACATATTGCATGATAAAATTGTAAATTATTCATGATTTGTATGATATTCTCTATTATGATTCCATGATTTATTTATTTGTTTCTCATAATTAATTTTTAAATTAAATTATATACGGTTGTATATTTATTAGAAGGAATTTTTCATTGGTTGATTTTATCGTATGAATGTTTGCTTTATTTGTTGTGGATAAAATTAAATGTCTAACCCCATAAATATTTCAATCCCGGATGTTGGTGACGTATGATGCAGGAATATATAGTCCAAGAGATAGATGTCGGATGCAAAAATCCGGAGCTTAGGTCGGGAATTGTATAACATATAAGTATAACTTCATGACTTGTAATATTTTGAAAACTTTGTACTAGAACTTGTTGCTTGATTTAATATAAAACCTTACCTAAATTAATTGTTCACTTAGTATATTTTCTATTAACCTTCTATGAATATTGAAAATATTACTAACTTAGATAATAAATTAGAATTAATAAATGTAATCTGTAAGGGGGGGTTACAGATGACATTTTCTCTGCAAACTCGTCAGCATCGACTCTATGAAGACTCCATTGCCAGATTTCAGCATATTGATAATCAACTAGAGGTTATCTTCAACAGAATTGGAGACCTCCAATTCAATCAGGGTCCCTGGGATGGTGATGAATGAAGTTTCGTGTCAATGCATTTGTTCACTTGTTTCTTTTGTTTTTTTGGTACCTACATGGTACTTCTGGACTGTAATTAAAACACTGTTTGATGAAGTCAAATAGGGGGAGAAGTATTTTTCTTATAACTGACACTACACACACATCACAAAATCATATATGTCTCTGTTCTGTTATTTCTTTGTGCATGTGCAGTGGTTATTTGTCTCCATCAAATAGGAGGAGATTGAAGCACTTGTTGGATTTGATAAAGACATATTGAGTTTAGAGAGTTTATTTTGTGGGTGTGTAGATAGATAGGTCATAGGCTTAGAATTTAATCTCTTGATAGTTCAATAGATCTTGTGATAAGCGCCTTTAAATGATGCATCACATTGAACTTATTTTACTGCATGAAAAACCAACCTTTTAGCATTAAAAGAACAAACTGAGTTTTTCAATCTGTTAAAAAGAAATTTCAATCTGTTAAAATCACTTAAAGCAGGAAATGTTTATATGTTGTCAAAATTTTTAATTGATTGAATCGCAGAATCAACAGGTTAAAATGTTCTTAATGATTTTTCTATATTAAAGGTTTCACAATTTTAATCTGTTGAAATCAAGTTCAATCTGTTGAAACGAGAAGATTATTTTTTCATTCTAAGGTATCACGAGATTTCAATCTGTTGAAATAAGTTTTAATCAATTGAAACAGAGAGCTATTATCTTTTGCTAAACTGATTTAATCCATTGAAAGCTCGAAACAACCAATTGAATTAGTTTTAAATGAAATCAATCGATTGAAACGACATTTTAATCGATTGAAAAATATTCTGATCGATCACAACTCAATTCGATCGATCATATCCGATTCTGAGCGATCACAACTCAATTTGATCGATCATATCTTGTTCCGATCAGTCATAAAACTATTCTGATCGGTCATCTGCGACTCCAAGGCATTTTTATTAATTGAATCTATCAGACTTCTCTCTTTTACTCTATAAATACAGTTTTGATTTCTCTTTTGAAATATACAATCTGAAAAACATTTGAAAGCAATCTTAGAGCTATCATATTAGTGCCTTTCTCTGTGCATTCATAAAACTTTTCATATCATAAGGCGTTTAGATCAAGATTGTTGAAAGTTCATCAAGAGAGAAAGTTCGAGTGGGGAAATTGCTTCGGACTTCTATATTGTTAAAGCTGCAGATCCGGGTTTATTCTTTTCATACTTGTACAAAGGTTAATTGTGTAGATTGGGTTTGAATCTGCACTCGGTTACGATGAATCGGGTGGTTAATTCAAGAGTCTATCTTGTGGTGTTGTAAGATAGTTCTTGGGGTAGATTGGTGTATATCTACTGGTTTGTATTTTTCACTTGGAATTAGTAAAACTTGGCAGATTTGTCAAGAACTGGACGTAGCTCTGGGAAAGAGTGAACCAATATAAACTCGTGTGTTGAATTTCTGCTTTCATCTCTTTTTAATTCTTGCTTATAGTATCGCTTTGTTTAAAATCAAATCTGCCTAACAAAATATTGGATAAAGTTTAACCATTCTTCCAAAAGAAAGAGTGTTTTTCAAAAAGTTTTCAAAAGTTCAATTCACCCCCCCTCTTGAACTCAACCATTAATTCTTACAAATTTCACTATCCATACCAAAAGGCTAAGGACAAATCAATCCTCCATGTCCTATATTATTTACTACACTTCCTCTTCGAAAAATGTTAACAACTTTTCTGAAATTAAGTTTATTAAAGCGTATAATTTTACAGGTCTTAATAACAAGATTCTATAATTTTTAATAAATAATATTAGTTTGTTTATTAATCCTTTCTCGATAGTACCAGACAAACAATAGCCAACCATGAAATGAGAAAAAACTGATTTTATGACCAGTATCTTTCTCTAACAGTAACCCAACGCTGCTTCAAGGTCAGTGGGGGATTCTTCCAGCTGACGCGTACGGCAACAATTACCTTAACAGCATTGAATTAGAACTTGCCGTAGCATACCAATATTCTCAAAGGACGCATATTTGTTTTGAACACCAACTACTCAACGATGGTCACTGAATCATGTAAAGTCGTGTCAAAACCATTCATAGTATCTGAATCTGAACTAATCTCAGCCTTTTTATTATTATTATTATTATTATTATTATTATTATTTGAAAGGCAACATTTGATATTTAGAAAACTGAATTAATGTCATCTAAACTTTTCTGATACAAAAATAATATTTTCCCCCATCTGAATACAAGAATTTTGCGATTACCTCCCAGATGCGATCAAACAATATTATCAGATAAAGCACATAAGACTTCCTCACATTGACCTCTTACAAACATGGGTGGCAAGGACCCTAGTTTGCTTGGGAATACAGTCAAATACAGATACTAAAAGATGAAACATCACAAAGAATTAGAAAACAAATTAATGTACAATAATAAAATCAATGGAGCTATTTAAAGGTGATTTATCACCGGTTTCATAAGATACATTGTGATCATTGAAACAAGTTCTCCAATTCTAGGCAAGATATCGGTACAATCTTCTGTCACTATCATCCCTCTCCAAAAAGTCCCGCTCAATGAGAGACTCAATTCGTTTCTTTACCTCTGTTGGATTTGCCAGGAAACGTGATTGCAACTGCTTCGTGACCTCTGCTATAAGATTGTTATGATCCAGTTGCTTCCTGGATTTCATGATCCTCACTATTGCTGCTTCAATCTGGGGCTTCCTGTCTTCCTCCACTCTTTGTCGGGTTTCCTGTTTCTCGGGTTCTGATTCCTTTTGTGCAACTACAGTACCTATTTTTACCTTATACAGTTTGCTACTGAACTTGTCATTAACAAAGAAAGCATCATCCTCAACAATTTCTTTACCCATAGGTTCCTTTCTAAGAACATTTCTTCCTTTAACTAAAGCCAATGACTGCAGGCATCTCGTAAGATCTGAAGCAGGAATCTCAGTTGCTTGCTCAATCTCCTTGTAGCTAAGTCTATCAGCATTATTGAACAGCATGAGAACACACATTTGATAGGTAGAGACATTTAACTCATGTTTCTGGCCCTTCCCAAAGGTTGCTTTTAAGTCTGCTGTGCCCATGTTAGTTTGCCAGGACAATCTCCTGCCAGTATGGGTGCCAAGGTAAAATGATCGAAACTTCTCGCACAGTACAGACATTTCTGATGGCAGGTTGCATGTAACACTAGACTGAGTTGGCCAAGACCCTGTTGTAAGAACCTGGACAGTGAGTGTAGGACCATCACTTAGTTCAGGGTGGCAGCCATAAAAGCCCTGCATTGTGTCCTGCGACGTTTTCATGTCTGTAAACATTCCCTCTAATTTAGATGTAAATTGGTAACCACATTCTGTCTTGAGCTTAACTATGAGACTTCTCTCTGCATCATCAGAAACTGTTTTTCCAGACAAAAGCCGTTTTGCCAAATGCTGTTTGTAATACTTCTCAAAAACATCTTTTTCTTGGAGGTATCGGAATAGCATCATCACCTTGTCAAGAGTAACTTCTACATCATCCTCACTAACCCCTTTTAGACCTTTCCGGAGTTTATCATCTACAAATAGTGAAATAAACTCAGGAGAGCGAGGATTCAAGTTGATGAAATATTCAAATGAGGAATTCAAAGCATTCTGGAAAGACTTATCATTGTTAAATGCCAAGTTTATGATCTTGTCATATTTATCTTTCTCATCTAAGAGCCTCTGCACATATTCGACTGGATCCTTCAATCTTTCAGGATCACTAACAAGCTGTTTACCAGACTCTCGCATATGTGAAGTCATCACTTCTCTTATTTTTGAAAGACCATCAGTAACACGACGGAACAAGTTATACATTCTGCTCAAATCTTCGTATTTATCATCACAAAGCATGTGAACTAAGCCAGAATTCTCCATATGAATTAATCTTAGCATGTGATTTTCAATCATCTCCTTCTCCACTACATTAGTAATCTTCTTTTCTGTCCTGGAATCCAAGTAATGGCTCACTCTTTCCATTTCCTCATTCAGACGCCTCTCAGCTTTTTTCAGATAATCACCACAATCACAACACTCAATGAATTTCTGGGATTCCACCCGGTAAAACTCAGCTGAAACTTGAAGAAAATGAGTCTCAAATTCTTGCCCATAAACAGAAGGGCCTAAATCCATTAACATTTTTGTTATATTTCGCATAATTCCTCTATCAATAACTTCACCAGTGCGTTCACTATGTACTAATTCCAGAAGAGTATTCAATAGCCGAGTCCTGATCTGGCTGGAATAAATGACATTTTCTTTCCACAGGTTCAGCCCTAGTTCATGAACGGGTGTCTTTTGGGTGCTTGGGATGTAGGTCCTATCCATGTACATCAGTATGTCTCTAATCATTTGTAATGCTTTATTATGATCATTCCATTTCCTGTTCAGCTCTTCCAGAAAAGAACCTCCTTGAGCAGCTTCAACAGATTGAGCTATATCTTTGAGATGTCCAGTCATGGTTGCAACCAGTCCTGAGTATAGCTTCTCACCAAATTTGTGAAGCACCATATTGTATGCATTTCTGAATCGACACAAATAGAAGGACGAAAATTACAAACATATGTTTTCCCTTGTAGAAAGAAAAGTAAGCATGCAAGTAATCTAATGCAAGGAATCCTTTAATGTGTTAATGCAAGGAATCTAATGCATGACACTACCACCCGGTTGGGTGTAGGGAGGACAGATGTACGCAGCTTTACCTCCACAAGCAGAGACTATTTTCATGATTTGAACCAATAACATCTAGGTCACAAGGCAACTGTTACCGTTGGGTCAAGGTTTGATCTCTTAATTTGTTCATGTCTAGAAGAAAACTTCACATGCAAAATTCATATTATATGCTAAAAATAATTTAACAGTTCGTTATTTTCAAAGCCGCATAATCATGAAGAGAAAATAAAGTAAGGTTGGCTGTAAACTTCAACTGACATTATATATTAATGAATATTAATATAAACTCTCTACAACAACAGTTTCCATATTTATTATTTAAAAATCCTCTAAAATTATGACCAAGCCTTGTCACATTGGTAGGATCAACCACATTGTTCAATTTGCACCATCTAAAAATTTGATAGATCCAACTAGTTTCTTGAGAGGAAAAACAAAAATGAATGAAGAAATGTAGGGCCAAACACTCCCCAATGTCGTTCAGTACCCTTGATCAATGAAATCAGAAATACAGGCAAAGTGAATTCAAGAGAACCCTATTCTCTCCTAAATGATTCTGACTGATTCCTTACCTTTCTAACTATTATTTATAAGGATTTACCTACATTTTCAACTATCCCCCTTCCCTAGCCTTACACTTCCTCCCTTACATATGCTATTTGACTATCAGATGCCCATCATTCAAGGGGGAAGGATGGAAAAGTTGTCCAGTGTCTAATAACTTCCACAAATTCTCAAGTCAAGTAAGTGAACCCATTTATGTCAACGAAATTAATGGCAAAAGCAAATTATATGCGATTGTAAAATTATTTATAACTGTCATTCTCTTAATTAGGATAATCTGTTGTGGGGTAAATGTGTATAGAACAGTTTAGCTAATAGGCTGAAAATCAGTGTGCAACTTGAAATAAAATCGTATTTATATCAGAATTCTACAGCAAGAGAAATGCCCCAATCTTATGAGTTTAACATGGAATCACCCTAGATTATGATCCTACAACCTAGTCTGTGTTTTTTCCCTCTTGTTTTTCACCCTCGTCCAAGTTTCACAATTTTGTTTCACATAACATTCCTCTTGGGAAAATTTTTCCCGATCCAGATTAGCCTCTCCTTCAATCTCTATTTTCCTAGATTCATGTTTGCTGGAAAGTATGATGAGTTATTGGTTCGCCTAAACATAAAAAGGAAAAAAAAAAACTACTCAGCTTTGCATTCCAATTTCATATATTTATCACAAAGTAAAGGATTTGTGGGGTCATATTAATTGAAGCACTCTAACTACCCATAACAAAAACCAAAAATAAGGTTACAATGGCAAGTGGAAAGTCAAAGATGCTCAAGTCATGGCTTGGATCCTTAGTTTTGTTGATCCCAACATTTTCCCAAATTCACCCTTACAAGACTACAATAACAATGTGGACTTACTTGAATAAAGTCTATAATCAAAATAACACATGGTTCTAGCTTGAGCACAACATCACTTTCTTTCATTTTTCTGCTCAATTCATAAATCCTTGGGTTGAATACATTGATATATAGTTTATAAAATTTTGAGTTCTGAAGGTCTAAGTTCAATCAGAACAGTTTGTGAAACTATTAAACAAGACCAATTTCTTATATGATTTGACTTTGAAGGTATTCAACCCAATCTCATTTATAGAGACCTTGTAACATCATTAGATTCATGTCTCAATGATTTGTTACGTGAAGAACAATATCTTCTTATACAGTCTTTCACAGAAATGCAAAAATCATTTGTTGTTCAATGGAATACAAGTCCCTGAAGCCCACAACAAATGAGGTAGCTGAATGAAAAAGTCATCATTTCTTAATGTTGATCACACCATTTTACTGGAGTCTCATCTGCCCTTCCAATTTTGGTTTGTTTGTTAAGCCCTTTACACTGCAATTTATTCTATATAAACAAATTGTCATCTCCATCAATAGGTAACAAGTCCCCTTCACTTAATTATTTGATCACCCACCCAATTACTCTAGTCAACGTATCTTTGGTTGTGGGTGTTATGTCCATCTTCCTTCACATGAATGCCCCAAGATACTGCATGAATGCATTTTTTTGGATATTAACTCATTAAAAGGGATTTCTATGTTATGATCCTAACCTTTGTCAGGTTCAAGTCTCTAGAAATGTCATTTTCCAAGAAAATTCAGTTTTTACAAGTCACGACTCTCTCTCTCTCTCTCTCTCCCTCCTCCAATTTATATTTTCCCATTGTTTTCTAACTCTTTAACAAGTCAACCCTCCTCTAAACCTATCATGACCAACAAAAGGTGGAGTGCTGCCATTCAAAATCAGCAATTAAAATCTCCTTGGGCCCTTCAAGATAATTCCTTGGCTGCTAATCTCGTCCAAGAAGCAAAATCAGCACCTTTATGATGCATTTTATTCGTTAAGAAGCCCCTAGAACGTGTATATCAATTCTTGACAACAGCAATATCATTTGTTATTATTTCTTAGCCATGGGGAATGAATTTGGTTTAAAGCTACTGAAACCAAACTTCTTGCTTCAAGAAAATCAAACAAGGGTAATGTTTTGTCCATCATCAATTAAACCTTTAAGCAAAAAGTTTGTGTTCTCTATGAAGTTGCATTTGGATGGATTCATCAGTCATTATAAGGCTTGGCTGTTTGTGTTTGAAAATAAGTAAGAATATGGATTAGAAAATGACAAGGATTTGGCTCTAGTTGCAAGATAACTATTGTGCACACTATTCTTGCTCTGGTGATTGGTTTTGATCAAAAAGATATTTCTAGAATCATATAATTGTTGCATTTAACTTTTCACATGAAAGGATTAGGCCATCTCACTTATTTCTTGGGATTAGAGATGCATTATCATCCTGAAGGCATTTTTTAAATCAACAAAAGTATACTCAAGACTTGGTCCAGCTACCAAAACTCACAACAGCATCCCCTATCTACACTCTCGTGCAAGTTAATGTTAGATACAGACAAGGTGAAGGTGAACTTCATGACGATCTCACTCTATATCAGAAGTTAGTTGGTAGTCTCATCTTTGTCACTATTACTTGTCCAAATATTTCTCTTGTATTAGTAAGTTTGCAAACTCCATGCCCCTCCATTTTTCAGCAATGCGAGGAATCATCAAATATCTACTTCACACCTCAAAGTGTGGTTTATTTTTTCCCGCTAATTAATCTCCAACTCCAAACATATAGTGATGATAATTATTGTGGCTGTCCAAACCCAAAGAAATCTATCACTAGTTAGTGCATATTCCAAGGAAATACTCTTATTTCATGGAAATGTAAGAAAAAAAAAAATCAATTTCAAAGTCATTCACTGAAGCAGAATATTGGGTAATATTAGTTGGTTATTTCAGAAATAATACGACTGAGTGTATTCTTATAGAGCATGGATTCTCTCAAGCACAAACTGTTGTGTTGCATGCTAACAACACCAATCAATGCTACATACATTGCAGCTAATCCATGTTATCATGAACCAACAAATTATATTAAAGTTGATTGTCATTCTATTTGAGAAGCATATCATAAAGTCATCAATCTACCACATGTCTCAATATCAGTTCAAATAACAAACAAGTTCATAAAATGTTGGCATGTCAACAACACAATTTTCTACTTGGCAAATTGATGCTTGTAGATCTACTAGCATCAATTTGAGTGGGATATCAATGAAATTAATGGAAAAAGAAAATTATATGCAATTGTAAATTTTTTACATGCTATTCTCTTTAATTAGGATAATATTGTAAATGGCTGGTTAGATAATTTGGTGGGCTGAAAATCAACTTTGTATTTAATAGAATTCTCCAGCGGGAGAACTCGTACATGTTTATCTTTTTTTTTTTTTTTGACAACTTAGCCAAAACCTCTTCCTAATCTAGCTTGTTGTAACACAGAAAGAATATCTTTAAGCTGGGGTTCGAGCTCCCAATCTTCAGTTGGCTGACATGGAACATGGGGTGGATCTTGCAGTTTTCAGGCAGGAGAGCCTATAATCTCACCATATCCAGCACCTGAAATTGATCATAAGACCCAGGGCTAAATATCTAATTTCTGCATTTAGCTAAAGAATGCCATCAGTATGGACTCTCTCCTTTAAATATGACAAACTTCCAATCGTACAACCCTCATACACTAGTCTACTTGTTTCTTCATCTGCTCCTGGGACATAGCCAAAAATTATTGAGCAACTAATCCAAAATTGTCTCCCTGTTCGCTATTAAAGCATTCAGTGCTTAAACCAATGAAGGAAAAGTGGGGCATATATAGCTGCTGATCCCCAACACAAAAAGATTGATAACTATGTAATGGCTTCATGATACAACTAAAAGAATGAACGACATGGGCAATTAATTGCAACACCAGTCATATATAACTGATGATCCCCGACATCAAAAGATTGTGCAGCAAATCGACTTTCTCGGGGATATAGTTGCAGTACCTTAAACTATACAGTTCCATTCGTACTCTCCAACTTCAACAATCCAAACACCTGAAATCCTACAATCTGTACCCCCATATCATTTTCCACATCCTAATCACGAGATGAACTTGAAGCTTATTCAGATCAAGATTAGACAACTACATAATTAATTGCGCATATAACTAAACACATGCTTATCACGCTTAAACAAGGTTTTTCTAAGGAGCCGAATATTAATAGTAATCATAAGAAAAATGAAAAAGAGGGGAACCTGTAAAGCTCTTCAAAACTGAGACCACTAGCGTTGTGGTTGTAAATCTCGTGAATCGCATGTTCCAGAATCTTCCATGTCTTGTCGGCGTATTTGGGATCCATCACCACGCGGTGCTTAAACGCCTCTATC